AAAAAAAAAAATTAAAAAAACAAAAATAAAAAAAGAATCAAAAACCCTCGAAACCCCTGAAAATCTGTAAGGGGGGGAGGGGCAGGGGGAGGGGCCAGGCCCCGTCCCTTTTTTTGTTTTGGGGCCATTTTGGGGCCGCTCTGGGGAAATTTCAGGAGTTTGGGGGAGGGGAAAACCCGGGCGGGGCGGAGGAAAGGCCGTTGGGGGAGGAGCTTGGGGGGCCGGGGGAGGGGCAAAATCCGCATTTTTGTCAGGAGCGAAGGGGAAAAGGGGGGAAAAAAAACAAAAAAAAAGCAGGAAAACGTTGGAACTTACGGTCGCCGCCGGCTCAAAAAAATCGCGCTGTGAACAAAAAAGAGACAAAAAAAAGGCAAATTGGGGGGCGGGGGGGGGGGGGGGGCGGGGGGGGGGGGGGGCGGCCCCTCCCCCACCTCCCCCCCGCGCTCAGGCCCCTCCCCCAGCAGCGCCCCTCCCCCACCGCGACGAGTCCCCCCCTTTCCCCATTGGCTTAAAAACCTCCAAAATCGGGCGGATTCAGCCCAAAACGGCGCTGGGGGGGGGATGGGGGATGAGGGGGGTGGGGGAAGGGTGGGAGGTTCGGGGTGGGGGAGGGGCCGGCTCCGCTTGCGCCTCCTGGGCCCTGTGGAAGGAGAGAAGGTTGAGCGACCCCTCCCCCCGGCCCCTCCCCCACCCCAGCCCCTCCCCCAACCCGAAATTTGGGGGTGACCCCCCCTCACCCCGGGGTGGGGGAGGGGCGGGGAAAAATGGGGGAGTTCAAAGGTGTTTCGGGGTGAAAAAAGTGGATTTTGGGACTTGGCAGAAGTTTAGTGCTTCAAGGACAACAAAATTTGCGGGGAAATTGGGAATCTGGAGAGTTACGCCCCAAAATTCGGGGTGCTTGCAAAAAAAATTAATTTAACCCATTCAAATTCTGCTTTCTCCTTTAAAAATCGATGGGTTGGGGATTAAAATGAGGAATTCGGGGTGGTTTGTGCTTGAGTCGAAAGGGGAGCAGTCGAGAATCCCGGAAATGTGACGGGAATTGGGAGATTGGCCACGAAAATTGGGATAAAATCCCCTTTAACCACTAAATACTGATGGTTCTGGGGAGAGAAGGAGGAATTTGGAGTGGCTTTGCCCCCAAATTAAATGAGAACTCCAGAAATTCAAAGACACACAGGAATTCGGGATTTCATCCCAAAAATWCCCGGAGGAACGGGAAAATATGATTTTAGACCCCAAAATTGGTTAAAAAAAAACCCAAAAAGTTTACTGGGAGAAGTTGGAACTCCCAGAATCTGCTGGGAAAGGGAAATTTAAGACCTTGGCTGCAAAGTTGGAGGAGGAAAATCTCCCCCARGTGAATAATTAAGCTCTTGACAAGTTTAATTAAAGCCCTGAAGGTGGGCGTTACCACCACAGCACGGACTGGCCACGCCCCCACGTGAATTGCCCCGCCCCCCAGCTGTAACCCCGCCCCCACGCGTTTAAACCCCGCCCTCAATACGTTTATTTATTATTAAACGCATTATTAGCCCCTTCACGATAAACAACGCCCTCAGGAAATTAATTATGAAGGGCTTGATTAGAGTCCCCAATGTAGTTCATTAGGCCTGGCCACGCCCCCAAGGCGTTAATTAACCCTGGGAGTTAAAGCGGGCTAAGCCACGCCCCTTTCGGGGTCAGCCCCGCCCCCACGGGGGTTAATTAAATCAGCAGCGATTGAATGAACCCGCTAACGAGTTTTAAACCCGCCTCCCGCCCCAAACCGCGCCYCCCGACCCCAACCACGCGTCCCGCGGGGCCAACGCCGCCCGCAGGGGTTAAAAACGTTCTGGAGGAGCTTAATGAAGACCCTGCGCGGGGCTAATTAGTGCTCCGATGGTTAATTAGCTTTTAAAGGGAGTTAACCCCGCCCCCAGCGCTGTAACCCCGCCCCTTTGTTCTCCTCACAGCCCTGAGGGGGCGGCCCCCCCGCCCCCCTTTTCCCGCCTCGCTCCCTCACGCGCCGCCGCCATCTCCGCCCCCCCATCCCCGCGCCGCCGCCGCCCCCGCTGCTCCGATTCTCCTCCTTCGGGAGCCCCGAGAGGCCCCCGGAGCCCGCCCCGAGCATCCTCGGCTGCCCCCTCACCGCTCCGGGCACCGCTGCGCTCCCGTGGCCGCCGCCGCCGCTTCCTCCGGGGGCTGAGCACAAAATGGCGCCCGCGCCGCCCTCAGCGCCGCGAGCAGCGCCGGGCCCGCCCCGCCGCCCGCTTCCGCGCTTTCATTGGTGCGCTCGRCTGTCAATCAACGCGCCAGCCAATGGAAGCCCGGAGGGCACCGCAGCGCGGGAGGGGGAGGAACCGCATCGGGGCGCCCGAGGCTTGCGTCAATCAATGCTAGCGCGGCGCTGATTGGCTGAYSTGGCTGCCMGTCTAAYTGTTCCTCCAATCACAAGCGGGAATGTCACGKAGYGCCCGCCCCCCGGGGGCGCGGCTGATTGTGCGCKTGCGCCCCCCGTCGCTATTGGTCCAAAGCAGAAGGGGTGGGGCTCGGTGCGCGGCGCGGGCGCTGATTGGACGGCGCGGCTGTCAGTCTCGGCGAGGGGGCGTGGCCAGGCCGCGTCCCAGTTCGCGCTGGTTCGAGGCCTTTTTGAACTGATTTTTAACCGATTT